TGTTGATATGCAAATGCAGCTGATCATGGGACAATCATTGCATTAATAGCAATGTATCTAATCAAATAAGAAGCAGCTGAGCAGTACTCAATCAACTGAGATGTTGAACTGGATTGTTTATCAGCCAGCTTTAAACCAACCAATTCTGCAGCCGGCATATACGTTTTGTTTAATTTTTTCGATGGTGTCATTCGCATAATTGTTAACCCAAAATCAACCAACGGCAGGAACTCCCAGTCACCTGAAACATTCAGTGCTTTCATATGGTCACCGAACAGGTTGAAGTTCACGTCGATCTCATGTCTCATCTCATAAGCCATATCACTAACCCCAAGTCGCTTTATGCCATGGAGATGAAATCGGTAGAGGCAATTTGCTAGGCCCAGCATCATCCGCCGGCTGGCCGGTATCCACTTGACCGGTTGCCATCCCTACCAAATCTATAAAATGATGTTTATAAGCGTGAATGGTTAATGTCAAAATAAAATTTATTCAAAATTTACAATAAATCGCTTAATAAGCAGATTTTGAGTGTGGGCAATGCAAATCAGTTTGACATTTTCTGCATGATTAAACTGATTTGTTCGCACTTTTGCTGAAATGTTTGTTGATTTATTCATTTTTCAATCAGTAAATAAGTACAGTAATCCTAACAAATGAATATTTTTTCCTCATAATCGAGTCTCATTTGGCTCCTCTCCTTGCATCATGATTATCGTCATCCTCTCAATAAAAACAAAGATCGTCATGAGCTTACATCGGTTGGTCATCGAAAGATGTTACTGAATCGTTTTTGCTTATAACTAATGGTCGCAATACTTCTAACTAGTGTTCATCGTGGAGCAGTTTTTCGGACGGTACGGGGGATATCACGAAGAGGAAACAGGACGGGTGGGGGGATCCCCGCTAAAAAAAGTCGGGNCCCCGTGTTCACCATCGGGTATCCCGTTCCTCAACGAACACCACTTATAACTGGACCAGTCGTGATGTGAAACGTCATGGTGAAAGTATCTTTGTTTTTTGAGGCTAGAGTCCTTTTTGGCGATGATCTGAACTCGAATCGAGGTGAAGCAGCCTGAGCTTAAGCCAAAGTCTAGGATAGCTTTCGTTTAGCCGTCTTAGAGGTTAACCACCCTCACCTACTGTGAACAATTTAGCGCATCTTCAACGATGCTTATTTACTCAATAGTGTTTTAGTGAACTATATTGCTATTCTGTTGAAGAATTTTTAAAATCTAATTTTATTTGCGCGAACCTTGCTTTATTTCTTGTGCAATAACGTGACATACTGAATTTTGTTGGAATTTGAGAAAATTTTCCGAAACAGAATGTTTTATTTCGAGGAAAAAACTGAACGTTCAAGAACCGGCTGTAAACTAATGGCTCTTTGTGCACTGTGAATTTATCAAAGAGTCATCTATGCGGAAAACGTACTGAATTATTTCATCGGATTCAGATGTGAGAAGCGATAGAAATGTCAAAAAACTAATTTAAAGTTCTCACAGAACTAAACAGATGAGAAAAACATCGAGAATATTAAATGGATATCTAGAATATTAGATCAGACGAAAAAAATCTGCCTTGTCATGCAAATTTGTTCGTTTTTATTTCTCGAAAAGTTGTCAAATTAATCGACTCGATGCACTATATAATACAACATTCTATAGTGCAACATCGAGTCAACGAAACGAAGTGTTTCAAACAATATTCCATCAATATAGCAGCAGTGTTCATTGCATCCATCAGAAAACTTTTCGTCGAAATTGGGTTCAAGCGCCGATTGGTTATCCACCAAAAGTGAATCATTATCATGCTTGTTTGCTCCAAAACGGTTGTCTTTTACGATGAATGTGTGTGTGTGACTGGTGGTCATGATGAAAACAACCAGATGCTTCGTGATCCTTCAGTGTCGTCGTTGTGAACATAGCAGCGAGCAGTCATCGTGCTACTCACTCATCGCTGTGTTTCAGTCATCATTTTGTTACTCTTGACAATTTACATCAAGGTATCTTAACTCTCAGTGAGCATATCAAGGTATCTTAACTCAACGCTACCGTCTTCTCACCAATGTATCTCTCAGCCAAAGTATGACGAGTGCAAGCCTAATCGTTACCTGGGAAATTAGCTCTGGATTATGCTTAAGCCGAATTCGCACGAATGAGAATAAACTAACTACATTGTGAATTTCTCATTATAAGCTTCTTTGTGAATTTCTTAAAGTTTCATTCACATTATAAAAGATTTCTGAATTGCTCATTATGAGCCGGCATTCTCACTCTCGAAAATTTCACACTGCGATTGTTGTCGTTCAAGGGAATGATGTGAACTTTCCACACCCATAAATTGAAAAGTGACGAATTAGCTCAACGACACAGCGAAATGTTCTTTTTTTTTTCAGAATAAATATTGCTCTCGATGAATCGCAGTTCTCGCAACTGACCAAATCATCCTTCAGTTGTAAAATTTACTGCTTACCGAGCAGTGATGATCATTAAGCGAAGTACAATCGGTAAAAACTGATAAATTCTGATCGGATTTCCGAGATTCACATTCTGAGCAGAGAATTAATTTTGTGGTTTGGTCGGAACACTGAATTTTTGAAATTTTGAAAAGGCAATTCAATCGGATTTCGGCATAACTGAACTTTCGATCGGATGTCATCA